ATAAGACTTCTTACCTAACATTGATATTTGTAATTCTTGTACCTAATTGCAAGTTGAGAGGAACCAGACCTCAATTTGCCCTATGTTTTTTACAAATTTGGCAAAATATGGATACACATCATGAATCTAGTAATATTAAACAAGTGACAACAAATTACACCTTAAGCACTCAATTGTTCAAATACGAGAAGGGGAATCTCTGTAGTCTCACTGAATTATTTATTATCAGTCATTCAGAAGTGTTCACTTAAATAGAAAAGGTGTTATGCCTAACAAATACAGAAACAGCAGCATTATACAATTGGAGAATTCTTTTTTTTTTCTGGACATTTAAATTTGTCTTATTTGTTCCCATAACTAATTCTTGGTAAGCTTTCATTTTGTGTTGGTATGTTTGTTTTGTTTGGGCCAGATATACAGCTTTCTAGTTTAATTAAAGCTTAATTCATACATGAATTAAAACCACATTCCTCTTGAAATTCTTTTCTTAACTGAAGTACAGTTGATACACAATTTTGTATTGGTTTCCAGTATATGGTTCAACACTTAACTGCATTATTAAATGCTTGCACTCACTAGTATAGTTACTATCTGTCAACATTGAAAGACATTACAGAATTATTGACTATGTTTTCTATGCTGTATTCATCTCAGTGACTGACCTGTATTATGACTGAGATTTTATGCCTCTTTATCCCCTTCACCTATTTCACCCACCAACTCCCAACTCCTCCCCCATGGTAACCACCAGTCACTTCTCAGTGTCTGTGAATCTATTGTTGTTTGGTTCTTTTGTTTTGTTTTGTTTTGTTTTAGATTCCAGATATAAGTGAAATCATATGGTATTTGTCTTTCTCTGCCTGGCTTATTTCACTTAGCTTAACACATTCTAGGTCCATCTATATTGTTGCAAATGGGAAGCTTTCTTTCTTTTTATGGCTGAATAATATTTCATTGCATACATATACCACATCTTCTTTATCCATTAATCTTTTGATCGATATTTTCGGTGTTTCCATAGCTTAGCTTGGGTAAATAATGTGGCATTAAACAAAGGCAAATATATATATCATTTTGAAACAGAGATTTTGTTTTCTATTTTTAGTTTTTGAAGAATATCCATACTGCTTTCCACAGTGGCTACACCAATTTACATTCCCACCAAGAGTGTAGGAGGTCTCCCTTTCCTCATGAAAATTTTCTTTTGCAATTTTCTCTTTCGATAAGACAGTTTGATATGTGGAGCTACAGAATATTATCATCACACTTACTTACATCCCACTACTCCCCCAGCTTCCTGTTTTAACAGTACTGAACTACAATATTCCCCATGGCACCACCATTTTATACCTCCCTGAAGTTGCACATAATCTTCCCTTTGTTTTTAATGTTCTACTTTCTTTTTCCTGGCCTACTCTTTAGTTTTTCAAAACCCAGTTTAGGTGTGCCTCCTCCTTGAAGTTCACCTTTCTTGCTTCCAAAGACTTAAAACACTCTATCTGCTTCTACCTGGTAGCTTACTCAGATAAAGGTACATACTTCAAATGCTATTGGTGGTTCATGGTGCCATATTGTAATTTATTTCTTTTACAATCTGTCCCCCACTGAGTGAGTGAACTTTGTGCCTGGTTATATGCTATACTTTATTAATCTCTGTGTTCCCATGCCCTTACACATTGCCTGGCCCATAGCAATTGCTTCAGAAATGTTGGATGAACTTAACGAAGTGATGCATATTACTATATTGCTATCAGTGAATGTTGTTTTATTTAAAATCCAAAGTATATTTGTTTACTGTTTGAAAATCAAGCTAACCTAGAGAATTTAGCATCCTAACCATCCACCACCCACATCCATTCCGTCCCAGTTCCCATTTAACTTAAATAAGAAGCTGTTTGATTCTTGCATTTTCTGCTAGTTAAGAAGTCAGTGTGATAGAGATGCAAACGGGATTTGCCTAGACATCAATAAACTTGAAAGGCTCCCGGCGGGCCACTTGTAGTGTCAATAAAGGCTCATAATTACTTGCTCCTTTGAGCATTTTAGACCCAACCCCCTAGTTCGCTCTGCTGCGAATACAGGGCTTGAGAACTGAAAGGTTCTTAACTTCTTAAAATTTAGGCGAAGAATGGCAAACACTGACAAGAGACCTCGGAAAGTAAGGGAAGATGCTAGCTGTTATCCTTGCTGTTTTAAGTTGTCAGGGGACCTGTAACTCATAACCATCCCCTTGCTCTCCTCTGGCGGAGGGTTGGTTGTGGGCTGTGCCATTTTGGGGCTTAGGGAGGAATAGATCCCAAGGCTCCAAGAGTGGATGACAGCCCGAGCCAATGTTCAATCTGAAGGAACAGGAACTCAATTAAGGGGGTGGGGCGGGGGGAGGTTTGGAGAGCTTGGAACCCGAGCATACAGATGGGGATTTCCTAGCTTCCAGGCACTGGCTCAAGGTTGGGCTGCCTCCCGACCCATTCTCACCAGACCCGCGAAAGAAACAAAACAAGCGCGGTACAACAGGGGCAGCAAACTTGTCTCTTGCTGAGGACGCGGAGCAACCGAACGTGGAGGAGCTGTCAGACAGAAGACGACCAGGCACTGAAAAGAGCCCCTGCAACACAATACAACAGAAGTACGGAAAACAGTAGGAGGCAGCGGAAGGTGAAAATCAGAGGCCAAATATATGCAACTGAGACTTTGGCAAAAGAAGTTGCCCTTCCTTCATTCCTTTCTTCCTATCTTTCCCACCTCCCTTGGCGTGTGTGTGGGTGTACTTGCATTTAAAAAGGAGCTCCTTGGTGGCTGCTTTTTCTCAGAATCCTGTTTTTCCGCAGTGAAGTTTAAGTGGGGTTGGAATTTTCTTGACTTGTGCGTGAGGAGTTTCCAAATAGCAATGAGAGTTACATAAATATCCATAAAGTTCCTAATGACACCTCGGCCACAGCTTGTTTCCTGCAAGATCCTGAGTCGGGTCTTCATCCGCTACCCTCCCTGAGAGGGAGGTTAACTAACCGGTTCACTTGTGTATTTGTACTTTCCAGGTTGAGCTGTGGACGGAATACAAAACATCCTGCCTGCCTCCCCCTATTCACTCTGTGTGGGAGGATGTGCGTGTGTGTGTATGTGCACGAGAGAGTATGTGCGCGTGTGTATGTTTAGCAAGGTGCTTGGGCGAAGCTACTCTTCTTGCAACCCACCCTCAGCTCTGTCGGAAGTATCTCTAGGGCAGGATGCGTCTTTAGTCTGTCCCCAGCAGATGCCACGGACTATCTCTGCACTCGCCTGTCCAGAGACCTAAGGTTTTGGTGTCCCGGGAGGGCGTCCTGACTTCCTCGTAGTGCCCTGCGCTCTCCGCGGGGTGTGCGAGCGCTGGTGCGCATGAGTGTGAGTGGTATGTATGTTTGTACACCACTGTGAGCTTGTAAGCTTCCTCTCCCTGCACAGTACAGGCTGCGCCGGGGACGTTACTCTCCCAGCCGCCGCCAACAACGCAAGGCAACCGCAGCCTCCGCCCCCTCAGTCCAGTGATTGGCTGGTTTTGCTCATCATTTCCCTGCTAGAAAAAGGGAAGGGCCACTGACGCCCCCGAACCCAGCTGCAGAAGCGGCCGCCACCTCCAATGCACAAGGTGTCTCATCTGAGAGGAAACCTTAGCCCCAGGAGGCGGCGCAGAGCGACCCAGGCAGGCCTGGCGCGAAACGAGAGGGAGAGCGCTGTGCTGCGCTGAGGACCAGCTGGAGCTTGGCCGCAGAAGACCCCCGCGACCTTCTCCTGAGATCCCGGCTCCACGCTCCGCGAATTTTACAGATTTCCCCAACCCCCCGCGACTCTATCTCCCCAAAACGGAGCCTTTATATCAAGAGAAGGTGAGAGAGCTGGTGCCTCCAGGACTTTCCCAGGCACCCAAGATGCGCTCCATTAGGAAGAGGTGGACGATCTGCACGATAAGTCTGCTCCTGATCTTTTATAAGACAAAAGAAATAGCAAGAACTGAGGAGCACCAGGAGACGCAACTCATCGGGTAAATGCAAAGCTTCATTTCAGGATATGACCAAAAAAGTCAAGGCATAAATTAAATGTGAATGTAGACAGTAGAGTGAGGGTTAGGAGGGAATGTGTGTTCTTACGAGCTTGTGTGTGTTTAGTCTCATGAATTAAATAACAAAGGCTGATGTTGAGGTGTGTATGTATCTCTAAGGCGTGTTCCCAGTTCGAGTTCAACTTGCCCAGTGCAGTGGTGGTGACATTTGTGTTGGTCCCGGGGCTCGCACGCCAAAGGAGAAGTCACTGCAGAAGTGTCAACAAAGAACGCGCGCCCTTGTCCTTTTAATCCGCGGGCAGAACTCAAGCGAGACGTCTGTTTACCGTGTGGTTGTCCTTCTTTCTCTGCCCTGTCACTCTGAGGAGGTAACAGAGACAGCTGGCTTCCTAAAAGGCAGAAGTAAAGCCCAGAAAGCAGGAAATTCTTTACTCTTCTATGGCGTTGGGCTGATCTGTGTATCATAATTCGAATTAGAAACTCCGGTACAACCGAGGATACTTCCTTATTTGCTCTTCTGGGCGTCATGGTTAGTTTTAGAAACTGGGTACTGTAGCTTCACACAGATTGCATTTTGCTATTTCCTTAGTTTGTTTAGATGAGTTCAGACTCTTCCCCCACCCCAGTAAATTCTCTAAATATCACACTTCCTTCCTCCTCCTCCCTGGCCTCCGTGCCTTTGAAGTTTACCCAGGAGGTGGCTGCAACTTTGTGTTGCTTACATAGCTTGGAAGCGTTTTCTGAGGATGTGAACCTGGTTGTGAACTCTGTTCAAAGTCCTGCTTCGGAAATGCTCTCTCATCCAGAGAGGCGTCCGCTATCGGAAACTCCACACTGACAGGGAAGTCTGCCTGGTTTTTGTAGATTACTAAGACAGCAGAAGTACAGTGTAAAGATAATAAGGTAATGGGGCTGGGTGGTCGTTATGCATCAACAAATCTCTAAATGTCTAGTCTGGGGTAAAACAATGCGGAACTGTTTGAGATCTTTTACACCGGGAGGGGGTGGGTTGAAACGCAGCCTGGCCCAATTGTCAGAGGAGAGGGACTTCGGGCCGGCGTGCGGGCACCGCCGGCGGACCTGGGCTTCCCAGGCAGACAAAGGGGTCTTTAGGAGCCTAGGTGACGAACCGGCGCGTGGGGTAGCGGCGGAGGCTGGGGCGTGAGGGTCGAGGCTTTTTGTTCGCTTCCGGGCCGGTGGGCTTCGAAGATAAGCCTGAGCCCAGACAAAGCGGCCAAGCCTCGTCAGAACTCTGAGGGTTCGGCCCTGGGCTCGCGACCCAGGAGAGCCAGGGTGGGCGGGACGAGCAGGAGGGCGGAGGCGCCACACGCCGCCCGGGCGTCCTCTCCGGGCCTCCCCAGACCGCGGGCGAGAAGGAGGCGCGCGCCGCAAGCCCCTCCGGGGGCAGTAACAGACCTGGGACGCTCCACTTTTCACGGGCGACACCTCTGAGGCCCATCCCCGGGCGCCACGGAAGGGAGCGGGCGCGGCGGCCCGGGGCCCGCGGGTTCCGTCGCACCCTTTCCGGGCGGTGCTGCGCTCTCTTTACAGCTCCGAGAACGCGCGCGGGGGGCGCCCACGCTAACCGAACAGGAAGAGAGGTGCGCACCGGGCCAGCCCTCCTCCGCGAGAGCGGGCTGCGGGGTGAGGAGACTGAGGAAGCCTGGAGGCGGGAACCAGGCCCCCTTTAAAAAAAAAAAATCACTTTTACTGCTCAACCGGCAGCGGGCTCCTCCTTAATTAAAACCCGCAGGGGCAGCGGTACGGGGCGCAGGCCGAGAGCCGGCCGCCGGCGTCGCGCTGCCCCGGGTACCGCGCCGTGTCCGTGCGGCCCTTCGCTCGGACCCCGCGGTGGGCGCGGCCGCCAGCGATGCGGGGAAACGTTCACTGGAAAAGCTTGTGATGCTAGTTCGTGATTTCGTTTCAACTGCCAAATAGTGCTTCTGGTGGAGTTGACTCATCAAACGATCTAATTATCTCATTGACTCTCTTTCCACCTAAGCCACGTGGAGGGGTAGTTTTGAGATGAGGAGCCTAGAGCGCAGGTTTAGCCCCAGAACCCAGGCCGGTATTCGTAAGTGAGGTAACACAGGCAGTCTCTGACCTTTGGGGGGCACTGCGTTCCCAGCGAGTGGACAGTAGAATCCATAAGGGCCTTTCATAGTCTCTGTACCTTAGAACATTCCCCTATTCTCCTATTTAGCCTCCTTGCTACATATGCAATAGGCAGGCAGTTTCTTTATCTGTTCAACCTCCCCTCTCCTAACCGGAGGTCCCATCTAGAGGCAGTCATTCCATGCAGAAGGAAAAAATGTGAACACCAGGATAACCTCCTACTAACCATCCACATTCCCATACCCCCAGAGGACTACTAACAGCATTTTTTTTAAAAAAGGAATGATTCGAGTAATTTTTGGACATTTAAAACTGGTCTTTCCTTTTATGGAAACCTATTCATTACCTAGTATGATGACTTAGTTAATAAAGTTTAACCCAAAGGGCACTGGGGTTGAAGTGGCCTATTCTTGACTAACATTTGTTTCTTAATGGGAAAAATGGCAATTGTATCATATTTGATTTCACTGGTGTGTGTGTGCTTTGAGTATAATTGGAAGTGTATTAAGGGTCCTACAGATAAAACTATGTGGGTATGCTCATTTAGTGAGATAGTATAGTTGAAAGTGTAACATAAACTTTAATACATTTTCTTAAAACTTAAAACTGTTTTCCTGGTTGACCATAAATGAGATTTTAACTAATCTTTCTTACCGTCTAGAGATCTTTTTAATTTGACTGTATATTTTAGGTTGTCTCACTAAATGATTGCCTATTAATTCTAAAACTTATGATAGAACTGACAGTGGAAATAAGTAGTCATACTTAGAATATCATTGTTTTCAGCAGAGTTAGTTCCAGTTTGTTCTAGGGTAGAACAACTTACAAATCAACGACATTGGAGTTGTGAAGTGGTCTGTTCTTGGCTGACATTTTTTGGAAACCCAGAATCTGCAATTTACTTCATATGTTACATTTAGAATTCTACTGAAAACCATAAGCAGTAAGTTAAGGTAGTACATCTCTATTTTTAGTTGGTTGACCCTTACATAACAAAAACACAAAATTGCCAGCTGTTTTGTTCAGTGTTAGTTTGATGCAGGATTTTTTCTTTTAAATGGCTTTTTCATGATAAGGAAGAAATTGAACCTAGTCCAAAGGAACACATTCATACCAAAGCCAATTTAAGAAGATGAAGACTTATCAATGGCACTGATGCAGGGTTTGGGGGACCTAATTTCATGAAACAAAACTAATCAAATTTTTGTGTACTGCAGAGTTAATATATCGTAATGATGCTTGGCAACTCAAATTTCAAAGAGAAATATTTCTAAATACTAGTAACATAATTAATTACTTTCTGCCACTAATATTGCATAGAGAACCATCTAAGTGGGTTTTTCTTAGCTCCATATAAGCAGGAATACTTTATAATATATATTGCTTCATGCTGCATTATTTCCTTGATGTGTTTTGTAATTTTCCATTTAAAAGTACATATTGAATCTTCCAGGATATAGCCCTATGCAAGAACTCTTTTCAGTGCAGCTGTTTAGCAATGGTGTCTGAACTGGAATGAGAAACTAGTAGGGGGTGACATCCTTCATGCCTCACATTCACCGGAAGGAAAAGCCTTTTCTAAAGCAGAAAACTACCAAGGTCACAAGTAAAAAATCTCTTGGGACCCATTTAATTTTGTACAAAGAAATTTACTCCAGAGCCTCAGATTACACTAAGCCTGGCCTTCTCCTACACGCATTCCAATGACTTTAAGGAGAACCATGCCTAGTTTAGCTATTTTCATTCAGAGTTCTTCCCAGTGATAAAACATGAATTTGGCTTACCACCAGCTCAATGAAAACAATCCAAGAGCAAGGTAACGTGCTAGAATTTCATTAATATAAAGCTGATGTAAACTTTTAAGCCACTGTTTTTTAGTCTTAGAGGTTCTGAATGGCTCCATAGAACAAAGTATATCATAGTAATCATTCAGCTCCATTACGTGTCAGTAAAGCAGTCTTCCATAGATATTTAAAATTGCCAGCCCATGTATATTTTTACTTCTACTAAAGTTTATTGGTGGTGAAAATATAATCACAGCAACCTGTGATTAGAAATATATGGTATTGACAGGCCATTTATTAACAAGATGAAAATTGGAAAGATCCTACCCCTAGAAATATAAGAGTGTGTGCCCATACTCTTACAAGAATATCTCCAAAAGTGTGAAGGTTAGCTTCTATGTATATCTACATTTTTATTCATGTGTTTATCATTAAACATGTAATATAAAAATCAAATTCTGGACCACTGAGTAGTAAATTTCACCCTGTTTCCTTTTGTCCTCTGTGACCTCTACAAAATGATTATTATTAGTCATGCAGAGACATGCAAATGTATAATTTTCAGCAGGATAGTTTAAAATATTAATTTTTATAGAGTTCCAAATTTTTACAGGGAATTGTTGCATATGATGCTTTGAGTTGTTTCAAATTGGAACTACATGCTTAAAAAAGAATGCAAACTCAAATGCCAAACTATAAGCCTCTAATTACAGAATTCATCTAACAGCTGTTACACAGGCAATGTTTCCATTGATAGTAGGAGAGGATTGCCGACATAATAAACACAGATTTAGACTTTGTGACTGAGCAAATAGTCATGTTACTTTTTAACTATGCTTTGAGGTTCTAAAAAATTTTAAGGTAACATCTAAGGAAATAAATGCAGATAGTGAAAGGGTTATGCCATAAACAGGTAGCTTTAATTCTCTGAGTCTGGGTTTACGTCTATAGTACCAAGAAAATAGTCTATTGAACAATGAACTGGTTCAGCACTAAATGTCCTAATGGTATAAATGCTACCATAGTGTCTGTCACCATCATCACTATCACCAGCATCCTGTTATTGCCATACTATGTGGTGTACATGCCTGACACTGTTCATTGGAGGGGATAGCATGGTTTATTTATTTTTTATGTAATAGGAACTATCAGTAATAAAGGCTACTGATGTTTTCCTGGCACCAACAACTATTAGGAAAATGGCTCATTTGTTGAGATGTTTTGAGACCCAGTTTAATTTTAGAAATAAACACTTCAATAGTGTCTTATAAATTACTTTCATACACAGAATCCCACTAAATCCTTCGCAAACTCATTGCAGATTAGATAATGTTATTCCATTTTTCAAGGTAAGGTAAGGCACTGTGGCTTAGGAAGAGAATATTGTCCAAGGACATACAGACTAACAAGTGATAGAATCACAAACTTGCCCAGATCACCTGATATTCCAAGGTCTTCTTAATCCAAAACAAAAGCTGTTTCCATTACATCTATATGCCTTCTGTGAAAACAAAATTAAAACCTTGGGAGTCACAAATATACAGATGCAGGAGATTGGCCAAGCATCCTGTCTAAACACAGGGTAGGGAAGACCTAAAGGGGAACAGATTTTTGATGAGAAGCTTTTTTTTCTTTAATTACTACAAAGGTCTTTTCTTTAAATAAAAATGGCTTTAATTCAAAAAAGATAAGTGTAAATGATTGCCTTGATAAAGTCATACTCATTCAATCCTGATATCTTTCATCATGCTCACACCTCTTCTTCCTACATGTAGAAAAAGTTGTATCTATAATTTGTCACCAGTAATCTAAATCAAATTATGTATTATGCTACTTAGAACGCTTCTTACTTTCATAAAGCTGGTGTTTTTTGTTTCAGAGATGGTGAGCTGTGTCTGAGTCGATCACTTGTCAATAGTTCTGATAAAGTCATTCGAAAGGCTGGCTCTTCAATCTTCCAGCACTCTGTAGAAGGTTGGAAAATCAATTCCTCTTTGGTTCTGGAGATAAGGTGAGTTTCTTTAATAAGGAATGATAAATTTCACTTCATGTCCTCAAATACGTTGGGCTTGGCAAACTTATATCGAATACTTGATTTATAGTTCAAGTATGAATACTTTAATAAAAGAGTGAACAATCTCTATTTAATGTTGATCAGTGAAGATGTGAAGCCATAAAACTGAAATTGTTATGTGGTCAGAAATTTAAGGATGGATATGTGAGTTTTGAATATACTGTCTTTATACTGATGGAATAAAATATTCAACAAAGTACTAATATTTAACTTAGTTTTCTTTATTACTCAGGATGGACATATATTTTGAGAATTATCTTTACCTTCCCTCAAGTCTTCATACTAATCTTGTGTTCCCTCATACTAGATGAAAATAGAGTGTATTCAACTCCTATTTGCTGGCAATGATAAATAAATGTGATTTAGACTATGAATGGGTATTTACATGTGAGCGCCTATAATAAAAAGCTAATAAAACATACTAAGTAATCATATCAAAAATAGGGAAAAAATCAGAAAATAAGCCTTCTTGAGTACTGCCATAATCTTCTTAAGATTTTGGCATTTTAGCTGAAATAAGCTCTTGAAATCAAACTTGATGCCTACCTATAGCTATTATATATTTTTTTCTATTATAATCCTTTGACTAGTAAGAAAGTTAGGGACAGGCCTTCCTAAACACGGAGGAAGGAAGAAAATCATTTTTCTCTCTAGTTACATTACTATGTTGGTTGGTATGTTTAAATAACAGCATTTTAGTAAGTCAAACTCTTCTTTGGAGCTCCAGAGTACACTCATCCTTTTTTCTAGTATTGACAAAATGCTAATTATTTGTTGATTGAATATTAACACACGGTTTCAGAAGAGTATGTTAGTGGTTAAAGGGATAAGCTGTTGATCTGTTTGTCTGGGTTTCTACCTACTCACTTCTTGGATCATGCCTACCTACAGTGTAGATTATATGTAACTTGAGGGAAGGGTCTACTATACTCATCTTTAGAATATGTATAGCGGTTCATAGACGCATTGCAGCAAAGGCATCCACTACATGTTGAATATACTTGAAAGAATGTCTAAAAATCTTAAAAAGATGGTTGCCGGGGAAATGCAGGAATGGTTAGACTTCTTCATTTTGAAGCTTTGAAAGTGACTGGAAAGGGAAACAGGAATCACAGTGCTGCAAGTGGTGTGTGTTTTGTTGCTTTCAGTTTAGGAGGAACTTTTACATTTGTAGGCAAAGTACAAGAAGAAAGAGCTGAGTAGAGTCTGACGACCAAGCTTATCAATTGTTGCCTTCTGGGGAGACTATGGTCAGCAAGCGAGATTTATTTCAACTGGATTTTTAAAAATGCCTTAAGGCCAATATTAAAAATTAGGAGATTTCCCTTAAAAAGTACAGATTTTTCATATACTCATGAGATGAAAAATTTGATGATGCTGAATCTGTATTCCTCCTGAGACTAGTGGGCTAAATAGAACTGTAGTCATGAGCTCTCCAGTTTGGCATTTTTACACTTGGAGCTTCTTTCTCTGTTCATACTTAGCTAGTGCCATCCACTGTCTCATACCCTTATGCCTACTTTTGAATTTAGAAACCCTGTAAGAGGTGAGATAATTATGAGGAAAAAGCTCCAGGATGTGGGACTAGATGGGGTCATAAATACAGGTGTGGCTTTGTTTAGAACAGTTAGGATTAATATTTCTTGGAAATAGACCAGAAAGAGAGAAATATAGTTTTAAAAAAGGAGATATTTGATCTATAAAGATGTCTGGGAAAGAGACTTTCAAATTTAATTATTTGGCAATCAGAGAGACAATTAGATAAGGCTATAAAGATCAGGTGAAGAAAAGTAATGGAAGAAAGTAAAATAAGAAAATTATAATAATTTAATATATACATGCTAAATAATATATCAAATAAAATAAATTCTAATAAGTAAATTAGATAAGTAATTGTCAATAACTTAATTAATATACCTGGCCATGCCTTCCTAGTAGCTATAAAAAATGAATACAATATACATGTGCATCAGGCCACAGAGGTATCATTTGCTGTTTTTAAGATATTCAAGCTAAGGGTATTGAATATAAATTGACCCAAGCAATTCATTATTGCAACTTTACAAATTAATGAGGGTTGCAATAATATCTTTGAGAATAATTTGTTTTCAATTATAAGAGATGATAATAGTAGGTATGAAATGTTAGTGATCTTATCATATGGGTCTCCTTAACAGATAAGGAGTAAAGCATAAACCAGTGCACATATTGAATAATACATACAAAGTTGTCACTTCCTTACAAAGAAATAATAATCTGTAAAGCCATTTATGTACTACATGCAAACAGTTCATAAAAATTATAATTGCCTATAGCAGTAGTGACCAGTGAGTATTAATCAGTTTGACATAAAAAAATTAGAATATGAAAATGCCTGATTGTTAGCTTAGCTTTCGATTTTCTTAAGTCATACTGGAAACTAATCGTAAAGCATTTTTGATTATTGTTTTTTCTTTGTATCTTCCCCACATCTATAGCACTTATGAAGAACCATATTACTGTGTCTGTGAGTGGGTGTCAGCATATTTTACAAATGTTTTAAAAATTCTACTTTGAAGTTTTTGATTAAGACATTTCAACTAATCATTTTCCAACTTCTATGATTGAACCATGCCTACAAATCTTTCTCATTTAAAAAAATCTCATTACACTTATAATTGTCTTGTGACATTCTTAATACATTATTTATCTTTTTGCATTAAATGGAAAGTCACTGAATATAAACTGTTTTTCCCTACATTTGTAGACATGATGTTCTTTCTTATTACTAATTTTTTCAGCCCTATATACACTCTTACTGCTTTCCTAAGCACAGCAAGAATTCATTCATATATATTCATCAAAAAACTGTACCTCTGGGGAGTTGTCTAAGAAAGATGGTTCTATGCATTAGTTCACTGTACTTTGAAGATTCATCAAGATTTAGGGGAATTTATGCATTCTACAGCTAACTTCACAGTTAAAATAATCAGCTTGGTTAAAGGGTTGATTTAATTGGTGGTAGTCTCTTCTTTATTATCATAAGCTAAGAAATGACACAAGATGCATCAGCTGTTGAGAGTAATTCTGTGAACATGGACTGAGAGATTGTTTGTTCATGTCCAACACTTGTGACTTGATATTTTTTCCCCTTTGTTTCTTAATTTTTTTCTCATCTTTTGTATGTTGATTAGAAACCCAAAGAATTAGAATGCCAAATATAAATGTTTAGAAATGTATGCACTTAGCTACTCATCTAGACAGCTTAAGCAGATCATAATTAGAAAAAATACTTCCAACTCTTAATATCATCACATATCAAAGTTCTTAAACAGATAAGTCTTGAGGGATAACTAAACATAATTGCAAATTTATTTCTGCTTACCTGTCAAGAAGAATTTGCTGTTGCATGCATAGCTCTATTTTAGAAAAAGATCCACATATAATTCTACTTACTTGGTTCAGTAAGTGACCAGTAGAACACATCTTGGGTCACACAGCTTCAAGCAGCAGAGTCAAGCTTCAAAGCCAGGCTTGTGTGACTGTTAGAACCAGAGTTCTTATAATGAAACAGATTTCATATTTTAATTCTAAAATATAGAAGACTACATTTTAATTCTAAAAGTGCATACTATTAAAATGAATCTTAATAAAGTACACAATAATTTGGGGGGTTTGCTCTAAAATATTAAAATATATTATTCATCTAGTATTGTCAAATGATGGGCCAAATATCAAATGGCCATTGAGGTGTAAATTAAACTAAAAAGTCTTTGGTTTTTGAGTCAATTTTGCCTTTTCATTTGGTTTTGTTTAGGACTTTTCTTTTGATAGTAGACTCCTTCCTACCACAGCTAGGTCCTAAGCTCTGAAGCCCTAACAGGCTAAAGGCTATGTTCATTCAGAGCTTTGAGGCACATTGCCTGGTGGAAATTATCTTTTGAGACAAAAAATTGTGTGTTCACTCCGCTTTTTGTAGGCATAATAAAACATTTGGCATTTCTTAAACTTTTTTCTTTTTTTTTTAGTAAACCATGTCATTTAGTGATTTTTGTCTGGAGTCAAAGTGCAAAAACTGATTCCTAATATATGATAACTTAATTTACTTCTCAATTTGTGATGCATTCTAGCTGTAAGTTTTGTCTCACAATACTTGCTGATGGAGTCAACAGTGTCATTCAGAGTAAATTTTAGTTGTCACAGCACGTATGCTTGTTGACAAGAAACCTACAGTGGAAAAAGAGTGGCACCTGGTGATAGGTTAGCTATATTTAAACTTCAAGTGAAAACAATGTTTAGTAAATTAATTCTCTGGGACTCTGCAGCTGCTATTTCAAGTAATGGGTAATGTTGAAAGGGAAGTTCTAGTTGAAAATTCAGTTGAAAAGTTTCTGTATAGAATCTATTCCTGTCTGTTTAACAGTCTAAACCAACCTTTCAGTTTAAGCCAACATTGCCTAACAAAAAATAATCTTTATGACTAACTTCTTTAGGTCTCACTGAAAGTGAAACATTTTCAGATTCTTTCAGTTATATTTATCATTGAAACAGTTTTTGAATTTAGGTGTTTACTATGTAACATGATTTCCAAAGAAACACTATGCTCACAAAATGACAGTTAAAGACCTATAAGGAATCTTCTGTTGCTGTTAAGTCACATACAGAAAACAACAGTGTCTTTTCAATATCTTCTAATTACTTGACTGCGTATTAGGAAAACTTGTACTGATACAGCCTGCATATTAAACATTAACTTTTGTTGATTCATGTTTCTTTAAAGCCCAGAAGTTAAACTGAGTTTTCCTTCTCTTTCTCTCTCATTCTGAAGTAATTGTGTTTAATCTGTTCTTTTCATTCATATCAAGGATCTCAACAAAAGTATGTGTTCACTTTGATGATACTTAAAGTGTTGTTTCAGTGTAATGTAAGTACAATAGTTTTTCGCTCTTTCAATGACATTTAGTTAATAAGATTTAAATGTTAGTTTTCCTTTCTTTATTCTTCCCATAGATTTACAGTATGAACAACATCTAGACTTAGCAAATCCATAGAACTTCTTACAGTCCATTACACCTACAATCTAAAAAAATGCCTACAACTTGCAAGAAAAAGAAAACTAAGCTTTATTTACTATTTCCAAAAACATAATAAGCATTGCAGTCACATTGTTATTCACTCAAAGTAATTATTTTCAGTCTTTATTGCATCCTACACCAGGAATTTTCTCAGACATGTATTTCCATGCATAGATTTAAGCCCTAAAATAAGCACTAAAAGTTAAGTTCATTATAAGAAAAAGAACATACTGGAGACATTCAAGTTTTCTTCCCCTATCCCTTCCAGTTTTAAAAAGCAAATAACTATACTAACAATCATCCTGAGTTGTACTTAAGAAACTTAAATTTATATTTTGATTAATATATGTGAATTGGTATTTTTATTTTGTTTTGGAAAACACTTTTACTACTTTAACAGCTTTCATTTAAAAAAATAAACTGTTGAGCCCATAAAACAGCACTACAAGAACATGCCCAGTGGTATCATCTGCACTTAATAATTATTTATCTCATTAATCATTCTTTTCTTTCAAGAGTTAGACAATATATCTTTCAAAACTTTGTTGAACTCATAGAGTTCACTTTTTTATATTAATTTTTCCTTAGAGTGAATAAAGATACTCCTGGGGAAAATGGAAGTTCCTATGGCCAGGATCCTAACCTGACCCTAAACTACTTGATGATGTAATTGGTCTGCTGCTGGGCTACTGCTTCCACACCCATAGGCAATGAGCTATTATTGACTGAGTCACTATATAAAGAGCTCCACCCAGTGTGCTTTTAGCCTGCTTTTACCTTTAAACCCTTTTACCCCAAGAACATTCACTTCCATTGTAATTTCTTGGTCTCGTCAAATCCAGAGTGAACTTGGCTGGGGCAGAAACCCTCAGGTGAATCACTGTTATATGCAGGAATTTTGAAGACTTAGGCTTTCAAATGTTTTTGATGCTAACTTTCTATAATATAGGGAGGTGCTGTTATTGCAAAGTCCCTCTTGCTATTAGCTGACAAGCATATAAGTATTAACTTTTTTCATGGGTAAAGAGATTTTCCCTTTAAAATTTCCAAACAAAAGAGTCTTCTTTCAAATCTGGACCTCTAGTCTATTCACTTCATGCTTGTAAACATGCCACCACTTGTAAGTTACATCTTTAAATGTATGTTTATATACATTTAAATTATGTTCAAAGGCAAATGATAATATCATCTAGTTTGGTGATTTGACCACATCTGCAGTCTTTATTTTAGAGCCAGCCTTGTTGTTTTCACAGGAAATTAAATTTTTTTGTTGAAATACAGGTGTCAGGCATTACTCAATTATTTTTCCCAAAGAAATAGATGGTAGTTAATAAGTATATACAATAGTTTTTATGGATTGCTGCTCTTGGTGAAGAATCATATGGGCTTAACATAGTGAAAAACTTCTCAGTTTCTACAGTTCATGTGCCCTATTGTGTCTGATTTCACTGGTAATTTTCTTCCAGTATAATCCATACTTTGTTAAAATAAACTGTTATGGTGTCTGATAGTACTACTATGAATTTTTAAATTTCATTTGTAGGGTATTTATATAGTTTTCCTTAAAAATTCCACTCCTTATAAGCCTGCTATTCACAATATTTAAGAAAAGTATTTAAAAAAACATTTCCTTTTTTCAGAGATAATGGGCATATCTGTCATTTATAAAATATGGCCAAATAAAGTTTTCAATCACTTAGTTTTCTAATTAAACCATGCATTAAGCTCAGACCTATACCTATTTAAATAAAAAAATAAAAATAAAAACACAAAAGGAAAGATAAGTTATTTTCCTTTCTTCCTTGCTAGTTATGCTCCTCATAAGTGTGATTTGGGAAATTGCCCTTTTGATGGAGTGATAGGAGGAGGTAATATTTTGTCTTCCGTAATAACATTTGTAAATTGTGATGAAGCTTAAACCATATCACAGAGAAAAATATGTCTGTCATGTTTTAAGTGGTTATTATAATGGCATTGTTTTTAGCACTCTGAAAATAACAAGTTATAGTACAGCACTTCAGTAAATAATGACCAACTTCCAACTAGAAGACAGCTTTTCCAGATTGCTTTTAGCTGGTATATGTTTTTAGCTTGATGATCAAACAATCCCAGACTTTTGTAGGCCAGATTCATGGTTTCTTTGGCAATATAAGTTCCTCAAACACTTACTGGCCTCTGGGCTATTTCCTTGTAGTTAGAGCCTGGTATAAATAACTCCACCCAAAGATTTCTTCTAAACAAAGTTTTCCAGCCTTCTGAATCTCCTTTCATTATTGTGGTTTAACCCAACTGTCCCTTAATTTAATGGCAGCTATTTTTAAGTCATTTGAATCTATAGACTTAAATGGGAAGGCAATATCCCTCTTGCTGCTGGGATGTCTCTGATTTGCAGCTGTATCTCTTGCTAATTGAGATATTAGAAATATTTGTGAGGTTCCAACTACTAGACTCACGCAGTTTAGATAACAAATCGTTAACAGAGATACTCCGTTCTGTCTCAGCTTGTAACTTGGTTATTTCCTGTCTCACTTTGCCTCTTTTAGTGCCTTGCTAAATAGAGCAACCAACATAAAATATACAAAGACTTTTTAACCAATTCTCTAAGAGCAGCAGGCTTATCAGATACAGGGTATAATTCCCAAATTAGTGCATATAACAGCTTTTTCAGGTGCTTTACTATATCATGTCAAGAGTCACCAGCATTCCAGCCAGCTACCTCTATTTTCTCATTTTCCATCATCTAATTTATCATATGCATATATGTTTATGTAGCATCTCACATCTATTATCAGTTTCTTTATTAGGTGTGAGATAGGCTAAGCTCCATTAAAAAAAGAGACCTTAAAATACAGTGGATCAAACAAGTTGGAAATGTATTTCTTCTCTCTTCTACAGTCATGCACATGATCCACTTATATTCCATGTAAACAAACTAACTCAATAACGAAACCCAGCTGTACTTGGAAATGTTCTAGCTGAGCATCCATGTATCCAAGTAACACATAGAAGATTCAAATACTAAAAGGAAGTAGGGAATACAGGACGTTTAGAAACAGTTAGCCATCTCTGCTATGATTAGTCCAGTGCCCTATCTGTTCATCTTTTCCTTTAACATATGTACCCATCTTCCTGGATTCTTGAGCTTAGGAGAGAACTACATACACACATAGTGCTATAGTTTTAACTGTTCTTCCAAAAATTTTCATACACACACGATTTGGATAAATGCATATATGTTTATTAGGAAGTTTAATTTTTTAAATAACTAAGGTTAACACCAAACAATTTCAAGTTATTTCTATTCACCTTAACTAGACATTAAATAAAATAGATGACTATAGAAAATTAAAGCTACTAGAATATCTAGTTGTGCAAAATCAAGTCATAGTAATTCTATTTTATTTAATAAACTATTTTTCTATATATTTTGATAGATGGGGGCTTTTGTTAATTCCACAAATAGGTGTATATACTACATCTATTTATAAAATCATTGAGATTATGTGCAAATGATTTTTTAAAATATATTCTATTTTCTATAGAATCTACTTAATAAATTGGCTTCATTACCACCTGACAATTTGATTAATAATTTACCAATTTACATTTCATCATATGTTACTTTGTATTGATATTATCACTTCTTGGATATGTTGTCACTGACGGAAAACTTTGCTTATATTTCAAATACAGGAAGAACATTCTTCGTTTCCTAGACGCAGAACGGGATGTTTCAGTGGTCAAGAGCAGTTTTAAGCCTGGTGATGTCATTCACTATGTGCTGGACAGGCGCCGGACACTAAATATTTCTCAGGATCTGCATAGTCTACTACCTGAAGTTTCACCAATGAAAAATCGCAGATTTAAGAGTTGTGCAGTTGTTGGAAATTCTGGTATTCTGCTAGACAGCGAATGTGGGAAGGAGATTGACAGTCACAATTTTGTAATAAGGTGAGCTTTCTTCTCTTCCTGAAGACTGTAGTTTCTTCAAAGACATTTTACTTAGGAGTAGAAAACTGGCAGGCATGTTTAAATCTAATATTAATATTAAAGATTATTGAAAGTTCAAGCAAATATTTATCTATGATATCTTTTTTTGGTGTAGTATCCAAATTCACATTTACCCTGAAATATATCATTAAAATTATTCTCATTGAAATAAAAGGTGGTCTTGTTGTAGCAATATGATTCACAACTAGCTTTTTTTTTTTTCATTGAAATAAAAGGTGGTCTTGTTGTAGCAATATGATTCACAACTAGCTTTTTTTTTTTGGCTAAATGGCAATTTTATTATGCTTAATACTCACACAGGAAAACTATTTTTCTTAATAGTTCTTTTTTATAGTCATTAATTTACTATTAAATTATTCAATAATTATATTAATAATCCTCTATACTCAAATTATATTAGTTTGTTCATAAAGACTATGAACATTCCTATGCAATGATATAACAAATGTAGGTTAGTATTACTTTTTAAATGACAATTATTTAGCAGATTCTAGGAACATAACAAGTTTATATTTGATATCTTGGACTGATTTGCCTTTGTTACTCTATGCATGGTATTTGTATATGTTAGTATATTTTAGTTTTTTAGTATCTCACATACCTGAACATATTTGTTTGTTTTCATTGATGGTCAGCAGATATTTGATGATGCATGTGTTTGGTTAACTTGTTTAACTGATTGAAACACACAGTAGAAATGGGATTGTGATGACATCTTAGATATTAGCAGTTTTTAATTCCTAATTCATACATTTGAGCAGGGTGGTTTTTGGCTTCTTTTAGTTCTTCAGAAGAGTTTGCTAAATGAATGAAACATGTGTATTGAAATATGAACTAGTGTACTATAAAGATAAGTAGGAAAGCACGTTGGTTTGTCATGTTGACAAACCTGAAGTCTTGAAGATATGCTGGAGTCCAGCCTGTAGAAGTTAGATCTTGAAAATATCTTTTTGAAGTGTAAATATAGTCAATTATATAAGTATTAATCATAACTATATAACTTTTCCGTAAAATAATAGGCATGAAAAAATCATAACGGAACACTATTGGGTGGATATAATTCATAACAATGAATGTAACTACATCCATATAACTACCTGATTATAAACTACATTCATTGTAATTGTTGGCATGTATAGCTTGTGTTCCCAGCTTGTTTGTTTCCCACTTTTCCTCTTCTGTATAAAGATTATTAAAGGAGAGATAAATTATGCTTGCTCTGCTACAATTGTTCAGTGACCCCTCCAGGATCAGATTCACCCAGGTATTCCACTTAAGTTGATGTCTAACTTTATAAAACAAAGCATTATTTTTAGATAAAATCTTCATTCAATGTTAATTCGATTTTAGACTTTATTCACTTTTATTTTTTTGAAAGGGCTTTAAAGAAATAAAATGCTGTCTTCTTTGTTAAATGATGTACCAGAATGGATTATTAGTTGCAAATAGTAATCTATTGTTTCAGACAGTTTTCTTACTAGGGAAGAGGGCAAGAGGCATATAATGGCGTAGCATTATTGTCCTGTAAAGTGTAGTTTTAGAGGATGTTTTTTTTAATACCCTTCACAAATATTTTGAAATAAGTCTGTGAAAAGTGCCCATGAGGTATGTGTTGTATATTTGCACATATAATGCTAGCTATATACAAATACAATTATCATAGATGTCCTCTCCTGGGAGAGATATTCCCTCAGTAACTGTATCATCAATTAATCAATTAAATGCTGGTTTCACTGGGATATTACACAAAATAGGAGCCCTATTCAATATCATTATATGATGCTTAAGAAAAGGATTGTAAAATCAATTAAAGCCTAATTTTGACTCCCTAATGACTGACTGACCAAATATTGAATTGATTTGTAGGTTTCATATGAACATGTACCTAAATAACAGAAAAGTAAATATAAAAATTAGTTCTATTTCTAATAAAATATACCTAAGATCATAATCAATTTTTTGTAAGTGCAAACCTCAAGACCCCTAGTACATATTTCTTCAACTGCCATGTTGCCAAGGAAGATTCATAAAGGATGATAAAGTTCTTGTGATGCTAAAGATCTTGTCATATAGCTCCAGATGAGCAAATTTTAACTAGTTTAATGTGGTATTGACATGTCAGTTATATACTTTTCCCCACCTTCTTGATAAGAAAA